GTAGTTGCTGCCAAAAAATTGGAGTGAACGATTAGGTACACTACATTCAGCAATGCACTGAACCTGCACTACTGCCAATCCAGAATTTGGTCCCTCCCAGTGCATCCCCCGCCCAACAAAAAATAGGTTCGCGGTCCGGGATGGCCCAACACACAAGTGCAGCCCCTTCTGGACTTCAGGGTACTGGTAGGATAGAGCGACCAATCTTGCTCAGGCTCTAGAGCAACGATCGGCACACATCAAGATGGACAACTGGCAGAGATGGCGCGTGGCTGCCCATCTGACCATCACGGATTTGCGGAAATCCCCCCACCATCCACGGCAACACAAGGACGCATCTTGGATCTGCCATCGCCAACAGGTCTGCTGGTGTCTAAAAACTAGGCTTGGAACCGCTGCATGTGCCGACCGCTCTCTGTTCGTTGCCGATCTCCAATTAATGGCGTGTTGGGCGCAATGAACGCCTGCCCACTAGAGGGCATCAATCGCACCAAACACGATCGATGGAGGGTACGGATGCTCCATCAGATACCCCAATTGGTGCACAGTGGTGCTGTTACGTTCCGCAAGGATGTCGTCCAAAATCTCTTGCAGGAGAGTCTTTCAAAAAGGCTTGAACGACATTCAAAGTGGTCCTCGTGGCCTCCGCAAGACACAGCCGCTTCTAATGATTTTTTCGCTACTGTGCAGCGATTTGACAATTGCATTGCTCCAAACTGTTGGTGGTGGCCTACACACTTGCGACCACCCTGCCTATGGTGGCAGTCCCTTTCGTAAACGCCATGGTTGTGAAGTTCGCCAATTTCTCAGCTTCCAGTCCAAATCTGAAACGCTCATTGAGCTAGATCCATGGTCGCGGTCACGATTGAGCGGTACAGAACTCGGTTTTGTGGCCTTTCTGCTTTGAGAGGAACACCTCCAACCTACAGGAACAGCGGTGGCTGCAGATATCCACTCTGCGCTGTGCACCGACAGTCGCAAAGCGACCTGGTCGCAGGGCAGGTTTTGGGGGGTGGGCTGCCAGCGTGAGAAAACTGGTTTTGGTGGAAAATCCTGTGGGTGTAAAGTACAACCATTTGACCAATGCTGATGCATTTTGTACAAAAACTTGGTAGCATGCAATAGATTCGTGGATAGTTCTCTGACCAAGTTTCCAGCGAAAAATAGTAAATACATACAAATATGGCCTCCCAAACAAACAGTGTCATTTAATTTGACAAAGGAAGTCACATGTCCAGTTGTATTTGTTCCACTTTAGGAGAACAAGCTTGCCATTGCCACAGTCCTCCAAAACAACGTTTAACTGAACGACTACAGCTTCTTTCTTGAGACGCTTTGCGTGGGTTCGTAACAAAAAGTTTCAATAAAATCCTATAAAAATCTGTGTTTTTCACATTACAGCAATTCCCTCTCCCAAAAAGAGTACAGGACACAGCAGCTGCCTGTGACGATCCTCAGTTGGCTTCACTAACCTGACACTATTCCGTCACTGTGTGGACGCATTGTGCATGTCAGGGCATTCTCAATGAAGTGCTGCAGGAGAGACTCGAAGACTATGGGATGAGGCCGTAGAGCTGTCAACACGCAGGCAAGTGCACCATGGACTTGGGCCCTCTGCTTGGGCCACAGGTCCAAGTACGTAACTGTTTGGCAGCAACAATTAAACAAAGTTGAGAGTAAGAATCATTAGCTGTTGATGTTTCTGCTACACAGGAATCACAAGAGCAGCTACCAATCACAAGTGAAAATTAGGCCAAAAAACAAGATCTCAAACCATGCAAAAATTGTGTAAAACCGTCTCAAACATGTACGAATCAAGTACACTCATTCAATCGTTACTACATGGCTCGGTCCCATTTTCGTACGATAAATACACGATAAGAATACACCATTTAACACGGTTTTCAATTGCGCTACACAGACCACGATTTTCGAAACCGTGCATTTTGGCATGCTTTTTTAGTAATGAATGTGACAATGCAGGGAATAGTATGTCTATTGCAATCCAAAAACGGAGGTGCATTAAAGTGGCATCCCTGGCATAATGCATGGAGGGCATTACAACACAGCAACGAATGCAGCAAGCACATGCCAAGGGCTATTTAGCAGCAACAACATCAACACTGGCTGCACTGTCCATCATATGTGCATGTGCAGTCACGTTTTGGTGAAAGTTTGCAACAATTCTTCCAAGCCACACTTGCAATTCAGAAATTCCCTGCCCAAGCCCATGCAAGTTGGGAATGTTCCTAAAACCATCAGCATGGTCATCTCTACAGTTTCAGGACAAGGTTCACAACACCAGACCACTACAACATTGGTTTGGGAAACGTTGTGGTGGTGACTAGTTGGCACGTGCGCAGCCCCGGGACACTCCTTTGAACAAAGCACAACACGAAATACGAGAGTTTTGGTAACATGGAAAAGGCAAATTTGCTTGAAAATCATTCGAAAGTCAATCAGAGATGGTTGGAAACAATTCAAAACTAATGGAACTAATTTGACAACGTTTTGAAAATGCTTCAAAGCACTTTGTGGGAAGGGTGCTACTCACATCATGGGCAGAAACGGCATGTTTGCGATGCCAACTGCAATGCCATGTTGTCACAAAGTGATGCCGTCACAGTGATTGCGATGGCAATTTATGTCAAATGGCATCACAATTGGCATCGCAAACAGGCTGTTTTTTACTGGTGCATGGCATGCCACACAGCATGAAGACTACAGGTGACATCATGGTCCATGATTCATGGATATGATAAGAATGTCCAACTCACCTATGATGCGTAGTGTGAGCTGCTGGCAATGCTCCACATCCGATTGTTCCACCACTGCCAGACAGTTTATCATGCGACCAAGAGCACTCAACAAAGAGACATTGGATTCTATGGGGGCATCATGCAGATCCTCGGTTGTGTTCATCAAGTGATCAGACTCCAACAGTGGTGACAAGTGGGCCAGGAGACCTCTGACTCCCTGAATACAACCACAACAGCCCATGTGGACATATGGCCTCTCACACTGTGTAATGGCCAGCTTTGATGTGTGAGACGATTATATCCCCTGTGAAGAAAAAGTGTAACAGTTGACCGTCATATCTCATTTATGCAGAGAGCCAAGAGAAGATTGTTTTCATGGTAGCTACAGACGACTGGATATTTCACCTGTCTTGGTTCGTTCATTCCTTTTGGCAGCGGAGCCATTGTCCAACAGCATTTGCATGTAGCTCGCACCAGCAGAAAACAACCTGTTTGCGATGTTAGCTGTGATGCCATTTTGACACAAATTGATGCCATCACAGGCCCTTTTATCCCATCGCACTCACTGTGACGGTATCAACTTGTGTCAAAATGGCATCGCAGCTGGCATCGCAAACGTGACGTTTTCTACCAGTGTTGAGGCAGAACTGCTCTGATGATTCTGTAGTGTGGCATGTCATATTGCAGTATTGGTCATGCCACATCCAATATGCAGAGCCTGCAATGGCAACAATACAGCTTCACGTGTGAACGGGCCTCTTCTCTCTACCACCACCGGAAAAGCATCCCCTCCCGGCAATACAGTACATGCATCACAACTCAGTAGTTTCACACCAGGGTTAGCAAGATTATTGAGGGCCTCATAGACTCACCTTCTCACCAAAGAAATAGGAGCAAGGCTTGGCCAGCCACCCCATCCCCTGTATGGCAATTGTGATTTCTTTGTTTGTGGCCTTTGGATCCACTGCAATGGCTGTGAGTGTGCCCAAGAGCTGCTGAAGAACTTCCTTCCGCACAGATTCTTCCCCTGGGGAATGTGGGTCGATCAGCTCTGCCGAAACCTGTATGGCAAGAAAATAATGGTGATGATGCCATCAGCACTAAAGTGAAATCAGAACACTGGTTTGCATAGCTCGCAGTTCCACAGTTGGATCGAAGTTTGAGATTACAGTGAGTGGGGGAAGAAGGCGCTTTGAGATTAAGAATTTGAAATGATGACAACAATGACATGCATGGTCCACATCAGCAACCTATTGTGCTTCAAGAAGGGGTTGCACATAGCTGTTCAAGAGAAACAGGTACAGAACTGTTGTGTTCCCACAGTTGTCGAATCATGTGCCCTCTGAGAAAGCAACATAATGCTGCTGTGATCATGCTCGTTCATGGCTATAAGTTAGAAATAATGTAGAAATAAGGTCATCATGTTCTGTGTTGAATGATTTGACAGCAGCCCCAACTGTTTTATCGCATGTTTCAATGATATCAGCATGTGCATGCCCCTGCTATACCATCAATGACATGCAAACCATACCCGAATTCAAAGCATTAAATTTCACATTTGCTAGTTTATGCCACAGCAAGTTGTCCTCTCAATGTGATTCATTGGGGCAAGCCAACGAACCAGTGCAATTTTTCTTGATTTGTGATCTGCCATGGCTTCCCCACAGTGCTAAATTTCTCTTATTTGAGACTGAACATTCAGTCAGATACAAACACCTCTTGGGGCTTTATGTCACCTTGCACTTTCATGCTAGCTAGCACAAAGCCCTCATCTCTTTTCTTTAGGATGGGGATTGCACCTAAACAATGACATTTAAATTTCGTGCACACTTGATAGATTGTCAACACAATGTCCAACTAGCGAATATGCACTATATGCACTTCCTGTTTTGCCAAAATGGGACAAATCCAAGAAATCTTGGTTATATCCTAATTACATTTCCACCGCTGTAAGTTGCAGGCATGCAGACATCGGCTATGTTTGGCAGCCACCAACGACAGATCACGCAACGATCACCATAATGCCATATCACACAAAGTGGGCACACATGGTGTTACAAGAGCATTATGTTCCAAGCATAGTTGACTCTTGAGCCTTGTATGCACATGTACCAGAATAGTTTTAGTTGCCAGGTAAGGCCAAAACACCCCCCCAAATGTTTGCAACCATGCTTTCAATGTAACTAATATCATTCTTTGGACTGCAATTAACATTTCCAAAGTCATTGCAAACCAATCCACCTGTTGGAAGAGTGCGTTAATGGCCTGGTTTGCTGCATCCCTGACGCCATGGTTGTGGTGCGACCTCAACTTTGCCAGCCAGTCAACCAACTGGTGTGCATCCTGCACAAGCGCCCATCCAAAGCGCGTGGCACACATGCCGAGCAGCCGCATGCCACTCTTCACACCATTGTAGCGGGTCTGTTTCTGCACACTCACTGGGTTCAGGGTGCCCTTCACATGGTGGTAGGCTGCATTGATGGAGGCGGTGTCTTGGCTGTCCTAATCGACCATAAACATCACTTAGGGATGTTAGGGACACTGAACAGCATCTTCCTTTTGACAAAAGCCGGCACCGGAGAGAGCACCAGTAAGATTGTGGTACTGTACAAACATCGGCTGAAGAAGCATTGAAAGGCACTGAATTCTCAGTAGTTACGGCTGTTCCAAGTGAAGCAATGGAAATAGCAGGGAACAAAGTGATAAGAAGCAAAAGACTGGGTCAATTACTGTTGATTGGGCTTCCACATCACTGCTAATGTAGTATGCTTGTCTTAAGGTTGTTGTCATGCAACTATGGTCATATGCTTTACACATGCAACTGTTCATATTCCAATTGATCAATGAATGTATACATTCATGCAGCCTTTGGCTTGGGCAACTGTGACTGTGGTGGCATTAGCATTTTCTGACACTGCACCTGCCCCACACCCCTGTATTTTTGTAATCATTGTTGTGCTCATATTGTTGAACAGCTTATGGAATAACAACCATCATCATCTGCACAGGTGCCATTGTGGAAATGAGCACAACAGAATGAGCCATGTCCACAACACCTGGGAAGTCAAATGGCATGTGAGTGGTCCTGCATGCACAGAGGTTTAAATCTATTGCAAAATAATGCAGCAAGAAATATGCTCACAGATGTTGGAATTGCAACAAATTACTAGCAACGGACAACACCACGAATCAATCCAGTGCATGGTTGTGCAATGCATTGTACATTTCAGTCCACTGGTCATTTGTGATCACAAATGCAATCATGATTGCATTAGCTACTTCATTTGTGTGCTTTCCTTTCCATGAAATACCTGTTCTGTGCTCAACGCAGATGCCAGTGCTGACATCGCCCCAGAGGCCAGCGCCTCAACGAGCTTCTCACTCCCAGACACAGACAGCACACGGGTGCATTCATCTCTCAGCCAACTGCGACTGAACTGGTGCCCTTCATGGAACTCATTTGGGGATATTTCAAACAAAATCCCCAACACCTGCAAAGGAACCAGCCTCTTTTGAGCAATGTCCATACCATCATCTCATCCAACCCAACAAGTGGCAAGGCTTTAATCAATTGTTGTGTGAAAGTGCCAAATAAATGGAGCCTGATGATAATTTACTCCTTGACTATTAATGAACTAAACCCTTCCAAGACTGTCCTGCTAACAAGCCAGTGAAATGAGGCAAGGCATGAATAAAGCACCATCAACAGTCACTCTTGTTTCATGACTTGCAGCTGAACCCAAATCTTTCTGCACTTTTTTGAGATTTTCATACAATGCATGGAACTACTGTCCATCGACTGAACTGAGAGCCACCAGCACATACACAGAACAAATTCAAGCATGAACACGTCAAGCGCAAATGGTCTTGATCAGGCTGACAATTTCTGAGTGATCCATCCTATCAATCCAGCAACAGCAGGGTTGTAAGGCAACTGCAAGTGAAACATTGCTCCAACCAGAATAAATACACAATTTGTTAATTAGGCATGTGCTGGCACCCAACTACAATGGGCTCAGTCCGCTTCCAAGTGGAATGAGTCCATTTCAGCAGGCTGCCAAACAGGTGTCCAAGCATTTTGACAGCTGATCCCTTCCTGGGCAACCATGAGAGTGAACAATTCAGTGATGACTATTTGGTGTGCTCCCATGATGACCCCAATGCTCACACAAATCTTCCAACCTGGGGGATCTATCAGTTCTGTCATTTACTCAGCATCATATCAACAGTTTGCATTCAGTGTGCTAACACAGGCAACTCCAGCCCACCCGTAGAATGTCTCCCTTGATGGTGGCAGACAGTTTTCGATTTGTCTGATATGCCCTCTGGTAGGTCACCGCCATTTTTCCTGTGTCGATCGACCGCAACGCTGCCTGCCCCAGCGGCCATCCCAGCACAACGAGCACAGGTTCTAACGTTGCCGACTTGACGGAATCCAGCTCAGCAGATTTGAAAATGCGGAGGCATTGCTCTGTCACAAGCTCTGCGTGAATGGTGCCCTGGGTTGGCCCCAGGCCTTCAAGAAGCTCAGCTATGTACTTCAACACTTCTTTCTGTATTGCTGCAGTGGCCTTGCCTACACAGCAAGAGTGCTTTGAAGACGACATAACAAACAATTCAAGGTTGCAAATGGAAACGTCTAATACACTGTGTTGCCACTGTTGTTGCTAACTTGTGCGTATTTGGAAAATTCATCTAAACCCCCAAAGCACAAGCACTGCATCAGACCAGGATAGACGGCCAAACAAAGACAATAATTGCCTATATTATGGCACATCATTTATACAGCAACCATTGTGAATCCCTCTATTCTGCACTTTCCTGACACCAAAAGACAAGCCCTTTCACCAACCCAGCAATGTCGGGCACCAAGCACAGGGCAAGAATGTGGCATATGTGCACATATTGACAAAGCCGCACGAAAGTTTCTGTCAGAACAGCGTGCGCCCATTGTGCACAATCGTCTCCTGTCTGCTGAAAAGAGTGTATATTAAACATTTAAGGGAATCAGCACACAGAGACCACTGACAAATAGTATCACCCTCCCAGCCCCCCAGCCCCTCAGGCATCCATGCCCAGAATATGAGCATCCTGCTATGTGGAGTACGGGACCAACAGACAGAACATCTTGCAGTCTTGGCATTTATAGCAATCTGAGGCCTTGGCAATGCTGCGCCAAATGGCAGATCAGCATCCAACCATGAAATTGCCAATCGCGCCCCACCCTGCCCCACCACAAGAAACATAACTAGTCGCATCTCTTTCTCGCTTGGTCCATTCCTTCCATTCACTTGGGCAATTGTTGTTGTTGCTCTTGAGGCTGTGGATGCATTCGACGTCTGCTAGCCCAAGACAGATCCGGAATTCTGTGAGATTTTTACAGGGGATTCACTGGAGTCCCATTACTTGGCAACAATGGTAACCTTATTGGCAGGTCAGCCTCCAGCCATGCTGCCTTGAAAACACCACACCCCCTCTCTAACACCAGTGATCCCATCCCCACCCATGTATGCACGGGAATAGAAGAACATTTGAAACAATGCTTGAATGCGCCTTTGTGTCCATCAATGCTTGCAGGGTGCAAGGGCTGTATCTTCTTGTGTGCCGACATATACAATCAATGGCATTCCCCTCTCAACCCAACCTATTGTGAATGGCACCCAAATTCACTCTGCTCTCCAGCCATTTATGCACTGCCTGTCCTGGCTCTTGCAAGCCCTGCTTTGTCCCACCTCACGTCCCATTGATTCTTGGAGCTTTCATTTGACTTCATGCCATTGACTGCAGTCCATTCAGTACTTTGGTGCCTGGATGTAAGGGTTGGGGTTAAACAGATTCTGTGGTTTTGGCAAATGGCTACTCACTGGATGGTGATCCAGTCTACCGTTCAACTCATCTGCACTACACCATGCCCTGCAAAGTTTCCCTGTTTCAAGAGCTCATTACATCGGACATGCAACATGGCAAACTAGCTGCTGTCCGCTCTGATACACTGGTCAAATGACAACAGACACTTTCCTTACAGAGGCAATTTCAAATACTGAAATTTAATGGATGACTGTAACAGTCCACAGTACTGCAAACAAGTACTGGGTGCACCTCCTCTGGCCACTGATCCAGTCCCACCTTGCTTCAGCAATGAATCCACCTGTAAGACAAAGAGACCCTCTTCCTTCCACTCCTAGAGAATGGACACCATAATCAGCCCACCACCAATGGCCTCGACACTCGAACTTGAAAGATTGGTTTCAAATAATGGTAGTTTAAGAAGGATCTTGCTGCTGATTTTAATCACATGGGCTCTGCCTAAGCCCTCTTTTTCTGTTATTCTGAGTTCCCTTTCACCCCCTTCAATCTTTATGCCTTAGCAATCCATTGCAGAATCTTGCAGCGTAATCCCCACATCTGTTCTGTTAACATGGAATTGTTGCTGGACCCCCAAAACTCACGCAACACTCCGGATCTAAAAAAATCCCCCCCCCCCCCAACCCCACTCCACCATCACACGGACACACGTTAGTTCATCAGCCACTCTTTTTACCCCAAATGCAAAACGCTGGCACCCAGACACTCCCAACATAGTGCAACATTTTGGCTTAAAATGCTGCACATCTCCCTCAAGTCCATCCCACCTTGCTTCATCAACGATTGTGCCTGTTGTAAGAATTGTTTCTCTTTGTAGAAAACCTTGCCCTGTCCCCGCCATGCTTCATCAGGGACCCCACCCCCTCTGCCTACCACCCAATTTGCTGTCTATCTTTCGCTATGTTTTCTTTCAAAGTGAAAGAAAGCAAACTGCATCCCACCTTGCTTCATCAAGGACTCTTCCACGAAGGCGAAAATTCCCTGCTCCAGGAACATGGCCATTGTGTGATGGTGAACACATCTTACCCCGTGTCTCCCCCTCGAGAATGGCTGCCCTTTGGAAAGACTGCTCTATTTCAAATTGAAAGAAAAAAAATCTCAAAATCTCAAAATAAAATCTCGCCTTGATTCATCATGGGCTCCACCATGAAAGTGAACATCCCTCTTCCCTCTCCAGCAAGATGGCCACCATGATTGGCCGATCCATGATGGCAAACAACCCTTCCCTTCCCCCAAGAGTGGCTGCCCTTTGTAAAATGCGCTCTCCTTCAAAGCGATGAAGATACAAAGCCCACTCTCAAATTGAAACAGAACCAATTCCACCTTCCTGCATCAGTGAATCCGCCACAAAGACAAAAAGCCCCTCCTCCCTCCCCAGCAGGATGGCCACCATGATCACCCGATCCACGAAGGCAAACAGACGTTCCTGCCGTCCCGCCCCACAACTGTCTGCAAAACCTACGCCCTTTCAAAACGAAAACAAAAACATGCCCTCTTGCAAATTTAAAAGAGAATCAGTCCCACCTTGCCTGATCAGTGTCTCTGCTGCAAAGGCGAAAAGCCCCTCCTCTCCCTCCAGCAAGATGGCCGCCATGATCGCCCGACCCATGAAGGCACACAACCATCACCCCTCCACCCCCCACCCGTTCTCAAGAATGGCTGCCCTTGCAAAATCACACTGAAAAGAACACAAACATTAATCCCACCTTGCTTCATCAGGGACTCCACCACGAAGGCGAAAAGCCCCTCCTCCCTCTCCAGCAGGATGGCCGCCATGACCGCCCGGTCCCCCTCCTCCCTGCACGCCTCCCTGGCCGCATCCTCCACCGCCTCCCACGCCCGCCGGCCGTCGATTGCGTCGCGCCCCCCCGCCGCTGACGTCATCAGCGCCGACAGGTGCGCTCGCACCAGCGGCACCGCCGAGGCGCAGTCCATGGCGCGGTTCCAAAATTCGCGATCAAGCGGATTGGAGCGTGAGTTTCCGGATCGTTGGGGAAAGGGCGGAAAAGGAGGCGGCCATCGGGGGTGGCTTCCCGCGCTTTTTGCCTTCGAGGCGGCGGAAAAGTTGCGGGAGGAGTGTAACGCTGGGTGGGGCCGGGGTGGTGCGCGAGGCGTGGCCGACCCGCGGGCCGGGCATGTCGCCAGATACTGTGGGCTCTCAGCGTTTTTTTTTCCGGCGGTGTTTTCGCCCGGCGGGGGTGGCCCGTAACCGTGGACGTGACCTTACGCACGGGACGACAGGACCGGTCCACTGAGATTTCACACGCCATTTCAAGCGAAAGCGATACTGCACAGTACTGCGAAGTACAAAGTCTTTGTGGCGCTTGTCCTAAAACAGTCTTCAAAACCCAGGTTGGACTTTTGGGGTTTGGGAGGCGCAGCTCAGGGGCCCAGCACGGCCCACCGTGGCGTTGCTGCCCTTGGCGTTGATCTTCCAGGGACCAATGAGGAATTTGTCTGGGAACCAGCGTTGCACCACTATTAGGTACACTGCCACCAAAGTATTGGATTTTGTACCGGATGACTTATAGGCTTGTGGTGAATTGTTTTCCCATCTTTTTCTCGAAAGGGCCTAGGCTAGGGAATCCGTATGAGCTGCCATTGGGGAATGGCCTCAATGCGCTCTTGCCTTGCGACTTTGTGGTGGTTTTGTGGACTTCAACGGCATTTTTGGTGAGCGCATAAGCACCAACTTTTCGCCCTGGGGTGGACCCTAACCTGCGTCCCCTGCTTTTGCCGAAAATTCCTCGCACCGACGTGGGTTGTGCACATCTGGTAGTCTGCATTCTTTGCGTGCAATGTACCTCATCTGTTGAGCCTTAAGACCTGGGGACAGATTTCGAGTGAGGAAGGGATTGGGACTGGACCTTGGCACCCACACCGCTGCCCCGTGTCAGGTAGGCCGCAGCAACTCTGCGCCCGATTTTGAACCATGCGTGCGGATCATCCGATAATGATAGAATGGGACCTGTTTTTTGATTCTGGAATCCTTAGTGATGTAACATTGTCGGATGCAATAAAACAGGATGGGATGGGGTGAGTCCCGATATATTCGAGGAGACGACGACCTGTGTGTCCTCGCACATATATTTGTGCAGTGGCATTACTTCTTAGCAATATCCACCCCAGCGCACAAACACCACTTCTGCCGCACCAAACCCAGCTCTCACCTCACGATGCACAACCCGTTGGGCAACTTTCGGATTATGCCAGCACCGCCATCTGGATTACATCTTTAATGTTGCGCAGCCGGCTGCTCCTGCCTACCCTTCCTATAGGTACCTAAGCGTCCCCAACCAGCACCAGAAGCGAATGTCCACTAATGCAAAACGCCGCGCAAGCAATGACTGATGAGTTATGCGTTCTCAATCACGAGGCACAGCCCATGGGGCACACCCCACACCTCAGCGCTTGCTACCTACTAATGTGTGCTACGAAACGACCCACGAGGTTGGCTAAATCGTTCGCCCACCATGCTGGCCCGGGATCAACCCTCAAGGGTCAATCTCTGAAAGACAATTCAAACTTGCTACATCCAGGTTCAGTCAAAAAAGGGACTGACAGGTTCAAAGTCAGCTGGGCAAGGGAAGCGGCACCGTTTCCGTCATCCGCCACACCCGCACGGCACCAAAGACTCTGATCCTTTCAGTGAATAGTAGTACAACGCAGTACCACAGAGTGCTAAATCTTGTTCCACTTTCAACCTAACAATTAAACGCGCCCCGCGGCCTCCTTGGACGGCCCCTTGGCCATCGGCAGCCCCGCGCCGATGCCCCCCACCATCGCCTGGGCCATCCTCGACAGGCTTAGCTGCCTCGAGGGCGGCCGTCCCCCCATCCGCGGATCCGAGGGCCCGATCCGCTTTCGGAATTCCCCTAGGATCAGCTCCGCAGAGGACAGGGAGCGGCCCAGCTGCCTCACGGGGCGCGACCACGTGGATTTTGCGGCAGCGGGGGCGGTGGGCGCAGGGTGGGCAGGCGCAGAGGGGGACAGGCTCTGCAGGCGCACAAGGCTGAGGTGAGATCATTGCCACTGCCATTAACATCCCTTCTGGAGAAGAGGTGCAACACAGTAATATTAGGCGCCAAGTCTTGTGCCACTCTTCCTCAAGTAGTGTTCATTGCTGCCACCATGCCATTTCATTTTGACTGTTACATCATTACATTATTATTCCATATAATGATATTGTCGTTACATCATCATTACCATAATATCATTGCATTGCATACCATTGCCTTGTGTTATCGTTTCTCAGGTTTATGTTTCTTGGCCAGCATGCGTTGCAATCAGAATTCGTTATTCACTGAATATTGCAGCCAAAACTTGAAACAGTGAAGCGCAAGGTGAAAGGGAGCATCATTGATTGGCGCTACAAATTGTTGTCTTTGTACTTTCTCTGAGTGTGCACTTGCATCTTTGTCTTTAGAGAACAATTATCTGTGCATCTACATCAAAAATCTACACCTATGCATCTCAGACTTCCATCACATATTTTTGTTCATCAGTCTATTCTTGCAGTCCCTGGCTCTATTTCCAAAAAAGGAGGCAACACTGCCCTGCAACATTTGACAAATATGGTTCCTTAATCTGCATCAGAATTTCAAATCTCATGCGCTGTTGCGGTGCGTTTTCAAGTGTTGCCTTGGGCATTGTAGGTACAGCTGAGGGTTTTTGTGCTGCCTTATGTACTATGAGGTAGCTTACATCACCTTCTGTGTCCTTACAGTACACTGGCACTACTCAACACAGAAGCCATGGACAGATTTGGGCACCTTATGGACCACACTCGAAGCACCACATCTCGAGGCGATGTCGACCACAGACTTGACCCTGACATGTGAAAATTCTTGCCTCCGCGTGCGACAAACATTGACAGCTTGATACACCGATGCACATATGTATTGATGTGTTGACACTGTGATGATATGCTCAGATGCTCTGTACAGTATGGTGATATGATGAGACGTTATGCATGAATGTACGAATGTGTGGACAGATGGGACGTTAAGTCTGGGGGTGAATGTGTGGACAGAGTGGAGAGAATCACTGCATATCCTTGGATGACCTGCTGTGAGATTGTAAGCTTGCTTTGCCTGCTGTGCACGGCTTCACAATACAGTGATACCTCAACATAATGAAATATTGTTTTCGAAATCCACTGGAAATCAGTGCCAATATTAACGGCAGTTTTCGATCAAGGAACGCACCCTGGCAACGCTGCGCCCGTTGCCTGCCGCCAAGGCGCGAGAGGTGGAAGTCAATGGAGTCTGACCCACAGGTCGCCCTGTCAGCTGCATCGTGGCAGCTTCACCAAGGCTGCTGGTAAAGGGAGTCGCAGGCAAGCTCTGCTGCGAAAGGAGCGGCACACAACACCTCTGGTTAGGCATCCTTTCAGAACAAGGAAATAAAACCATGTACTACAAACTACTACTTCAGAATAGTACTATAGACTGGTACTATAAAATAGTACAATAGACTAGAAGTAATAGGTCCTGTACCATCTCTGCAAAGAGTGCTGTGAGACCTTCAGCATATGTTTCGGAACACTTTCGTTGACATTCAAAACAGCAATGCGATGCCTTGGCACAAGAAAAGGACACTGTTGTTGGGCCCATCCTGTAACGCCTTCTACAGCAGCTCTGTCTGAGGTATCGATACCTGTCATTCTTCTGAAACAATTTACGCGTCAGCAAACAAACACAAGCAGCAGTAGTGGACAACAATACTCATTGTCTAGTAGTGGCCTTGTGGGTGTTCTGGCTTGCACTTTTCCATAAACTTCTGAACTTGCTGGAAAAGCAAACGAAGAAATGAAATAGCGAAATGACAAAAACTGAAAGGTACAAATGAAATAACTTGATGGCGAAATAGCTAAAACTTTCTTTGACAGGTTGAGTTTAAACAATCATGCATTGTAAAGTACTGAACTTTGTAGCAATCCTTTCTGAAAGAGTGCTTTCACTCACCGACCCATCCCCCGAATTCAAGCTCCTGGAGACGGCCACGACACGCTGGAATCGTGGCGCTGGCGGCTGTGGCTTCAAATGCCAGTCGAAGGGCAGACTGGCGGGGTCGATGGGCGCCCGGGCAGCAACCTTTCAGGAACCAGACAGGTGAAAGAACGAATGAGTCCATCAACGCATCGCTAAGCCAATACATCAGCCAAGTTGTATCAGCCAATTTACCAATAAGCCAAAAGTTGTTTTCATTTCTCTGCCTGCATTCGGCTGGGCATGGGGACACAAGTGCAATGCGGACAAACAGTGCTCTTCCAGGCAAAGTGGTTATTATAAAGCACCAAAATCTTGTATACATCTTCCCCGAAAGCTGTCTGAATATTCAAATTACCAATTCTTCTAATTCGAACGAGCCTAACATCAGAGTAAATTAAACATGAACCAATTGCGTTTGGAATCATTCTCCCCGTTGTCAGTGGCATCAGGCAAGGTCTGGGTTCGAAGCACAATGTAGAAGTTCGTCATTGCTGGGCGCACGCATTTCAAGGAGTCGGAATGTCAACCGCACTGTGCAGCACTCGGCGCTAGAGGTCATGTTGCTAGATCCACAGTGCTGCTGTACTGCAGTGTGTTGTACGGCAATGTACTGCATTGCATGGTGGTGTGCTGTATTGCAATGTTCAGTACTGTTATGTAATGTACTTTGTCACTTTACTGGAATTGCTCAAACTGCTCAAATTGAGTCCAAACTGGCCCAAACTATGTCCTCGATCTGCTCCGCTAATAGTGTTTGTCCCAAACACATCGCAGCCCAACTGCTGAAACGATGAGAACGCCAGCACACCAAAACGAACGTCGCAGCTGATGCTCCAAAGCTGAAATGGCAACGCCAATGTATTGGAGTACTTGAGAAACTACACTAAATAAATAGGCATAAAGTCATGCAAATCAATCCAATTCACTGTGGCCTTTGGCCCCACCTGCACTAAGTCATCTCTGCGCGCAACCAGATGGCGGCCCCACTGTCGATGCGACAGCAGCAGGGTGATGCAAGAGACGACCATCACGACTGAGATGAGGATGGCAGTCAAGTTGTTGTCCCTGTGATGGCTGAATTTGATCCATCCCGCCAAAGCGAGGTTGAGCAGAAAAAGGGGGATTCCTGAAAGGCATAGATGCCTTGAGATCAAGCGGGCCTTGCACCAGTTTTCCTCAAGAGAACGAATTAGCCAGATGAGCTCCCCAACGCTGTGGTAAGCTAGCAGCGAATGGGCTCCAAGGTTTAGTACATTACAGTACATGGTTGTCCCGCAATCTGCTGAGGAGTGCAGCACGTCAAGAGGTGCAAGGCCGGCATGGTTGGGACATGAACAGTATCAAACCTAGACGCAATGGGGAGGTGAGAATGTTGATGTCACAGTGCAAAAAGAGCAGAAAAGGCCAAAACAGCGCAAACCAGTAAACAAACAAAGTCATCAACTACACGTCAATAGCCTCTCACCTGCTGAGAACATGAAGAAGGCCCTGCGCCATTCTCCCTCCGCCCTCTGACTCCAGTGTGCGTCAAAGGTTCTGGCGGGTGCTGGGGGTCGGTCGCCTATTCGGTAGTCCCTTGCAAATTGCCGGCACCTGGACATCAGCCCGAGCAATCAGGGGGACATTAAGTAAAGCACTGCATCACAAGGCAGCACGGGACGAAGTGCCCTGCCACAGAATGCTGCACTGCTCTGTGCTGCGCGATCTGATCCTGTGTGACTGAGCGCGAAAAGGTGCAAACCAAGGGTTTTAGCAAAGTAAACTAGAGCGAAATAAGCGCAGTACTACGGTTCGGTGATGAAAACTAAGGGTTATGCCAAACTGTTCAGCGCCAGAAGCGCTGGCTCACACAGCTGTGTGATCGAGAGCTGCGTCATGCAAATGCTGCAGCGATCATCCGCATCAATTCATACAATCACCCCCCTCACACACAACTCCCAACATTGACTCTAGATCTCAATAAAGGGAGTGTATGAAGTTGAGTGAAAAAACTCGTGTCATGCACCTCAACACATAACAAATGCTGTGCATAGCATGCAATGTGTAATTCTGAATGCACAACTTGCAAAAGGGCGGGCACCATGTTGCTGCAGGCTGCACCATCTCTGTGGAGTATGTTGTTAGGAAGGCAACCAATGAGTTGGTACACTGCACACAGCAAACTATCAGTACTTTCCTGCAAATTATGACAGACTGGGGAGTTAAGGTACTCCACCTGAAGATAAACTCTGCTTCGTCTTCCTCTGAAACGAAATTCTTGCCAGTCTTGAGGATGCTGGCATGCATCAGGCTCGTTGTCACCATGGCGTTGACCATCAATCCCACCTAGCAATGGCAGAACTGGATGAATATAAGTTTACCTTATGCTAGATGACTCATCTAGCATTGTGCAGCACATGCTGTACATTGTGCATGTGAGCACTTGTTTGCATCCACTCATCCATAAAACAGGGCACTCACATGTGCTTCACCATGGTCCCAGCAGGTAACCAAACCCACATGCACAGCAAATGCACACATCAGCACCATTGAATTCAGCACTGTTTGATCAGCAGGTACAGGAAACCAACAACAAGGGCCTCACCGTGAGTGCCGTAGTCAAGCCAAACCCCACAACCAGTCCCACGGGTGTGTCATCGTCCACCCCAAACTCCAGGAACGCAATAAGCGCAAAACCCCCAATGAGGGCTGCCAGGTTTGAGATGCCCTTCAGCTGCTCAGCACGCTCTTCGACCTCACGCCGATTCTTCTCAACCGCCCGGCTCCACACGAAGCGCGCATTGTCCAGCACGCGCTGCTCCATGTCCTGGGCCCGCCACTTTCGGCCGTCTGTCCTGCATACAGTGCACTTTCCAGTTTTACTTCCTTGCGCTGATTGATCAAGTAGTGTTGTCTTACCATTCCTGTTTTGCTGTATCAGAAAGTGTTATTCTGTTGTGTGTCATACTGCTGTTGTTTGCTGCTTCCAAATGAGAAGAGATGTGAAGGGATAAAGGAGGAAACAGATAAGAGGACCAAAGAGAAGGAAGGCAAAGAAAAGCCAATTTTGCAGCTGATGCAGGACACGTTCTTCTTTGTCTCTGAGAAAACTTTGTCCTGTGCAAGCAGCCCAATTCAAGATGTCTCCATGCACAGGGCTGGGAGTGGTTTCAGGGGTCAGGGGTCAGGGCTATGAATTGGAATCAAGTGAAGGAGCAAACATAGCATAAGATGGTTGGACGACACCAAACAGGTCCACCAACCAGGTGGCACCACCCCCACAAAAATGTTGCTTGACACCATGGCCCCAGCACACCAATACTGTTGTATGACACAAATCTCCTTCTGTTCAATGTCAATCACTCACACATACATACGGATCCTTTTTGGATACATTACACTGGCCCTATTCTGGCAGTACGCCTCTCAAGTTTCGGGCCACGCCGGGACATCTACCACAACAGGATGGTGGCTTAGGAGTTCTGATGTTGGTGCCCAGTATGTGCTGATCAGCGACAGCAACAACTGATCATCTATCCTTAACTGGTGCCACACCTTTCACATTTTCCCATCCCTCCACAGTACGGAAAGAATCTCCCACGCACTTGCTTGCGAGGGTGCAGCCATTGCATGGCATGCGTCTCTACTGTTGCAACAGATTTTATCCATTCACAGTTTACACTCGCTCTTGCGCAAACGTCCTGTTGTCCCAGGGTTCCATCTGATGTGCTTTTGGCGAGCCACAATGCACCAAGTGTGAAGTGTCCTGTCCCTTGGTGGTAAAGCACGGCACTGCCACCACTGACAACAACAGCTATGCCATTCATCCACCTCACATGACATGTTTTGTAGTGCGTTCCGCATGGTGGCATATGTCATCAACCTGCTGCAGACTTCAAAGTCATCTTCCACAGCATGAAACAGAGTCCCATATCTAGCTCAAGAGGGTGGCTCCCAGTACAAGACAGACTCCTCCTTATTGTCCAAAATGAATCCTTGATACAAAAGATCCCTCCACCAGCCCTACACTCAAGAGGGTGGTGCCCATTACACCACGTGAGTCCCATTCTTGCCCTAATGAATCCTCGAATCCTATGAAATCGGTGTCTAGCTATCCAGTAGGATGGTGCCCAAGGATGCGCATGGCGAAGTGCTCAGGGATATATACAGGGACATGTACAGAGATATTAATACAGATGTATGCATGAATATGTAAACAGACATGTACAGGGATGCAGACAGGGTTCTATATGCTGGCAATGGCTCCTGCACTAACATGAAATCGGCCTCCAGCATTCTACTTGGTAGAACAGTGACCAGGGACGTGCATGGCGACACACAAGGGTACACACGAGGGTACAGGGAGGGAACACAGTGACATGTACAGGGGCTTGATTTGCCAAGCACTTTCGACAGATGTCAGCAGCAGAATTCATGCGCAGGGACACGCGCAGGGACACACATGCCTACAACCAAAGCTCGACTCCCATGAAATTGGTCTCCAGCAATCTACTCAGGAGGGAGGTTCCCAGAGACATGTATGGCAACGTACAGGGATACAAAGATGCACACAGTGATACGCATAGGGCCCCGTTCGCCACGCACTTCTGGCAAATGCAAGCGAGGGAATTCACACGCAGGTCCACACACGTCGCCAACCAGTCGTCGGCTCGCATGAAATCGGTCTTCAGCGTTCTGCTAGGGAGGGAGGCGGCCATGGCGACATACAGGGCTACAGTGATGCACAAAGGGACACGCTCAAGCCCGCATACGGCAGCAACCAATCCTCGACTCACATGAAATCCGTCTCCAGCCCGATCTGGCCCTGCTCCACCTTCCGCCATTCAAGGTCCTCCCGTCGCCACTTGCGGTCCTCCTCGCGCCACTGCCGCGACAGCGCCGTGTCGAAGCCCGTCAGGATGGCCTGGGCTGACTCGAACAGCGTCTCGCTCATCACGCCTCCACCTTGGCGCCTCAAGATCGGCTCGAGGTCGGTTTTTTTTAATTCGAACGGCGGGGAGGGGCTTTTTCTTGAGGATAGGGTGGTGTTTTGAGTCGCGCGGTGAAGAGGGTGGCGGGGGAGGGTGGACGGGCGCGGTGGCCCGTGGGCGCCCGCGAGCACGGCGGGGCTGGCTTTTGTGGCTCAATTGGCGGGGTATTTGGTATTTGTCTTGGGATTTTTTTTGTCTTAAATATATTTGGCCTTCAATGTCTTTTTTTGTTTCGGAAAAGATGCTTTTTCGGAAAACCCAGTTGGTGGGCTTTGGTGGGGTGGGGTGGGGCTCTTCTTGGCGTTCTGTTTGACAGTACCCTCCCCCGTCTGACAGGCACGCATGGCAGGAAGTTGAAATGTGGTATCGTGCTTAAGGATGAAGAGTGTATCAAATAGCAATCTTATCAGTGTACCGTCCGTGCAAATGCCCCTGACCTTCAATCTCAGTTGCCATTGGCTTGGCGAATTAAAACCAAAGCGCTGAAAATCCCGGCAGCTTTTGTGCTTCAGACAATCCCCGAAAGCGAAATCAGGCTCAGGGTTGAAGACAAGAGAGTCGTGCGTGTGCGCACAACTTTCACGAAATTACAACTTCCCGTTAGCCAAGATGTTCTCAGGTGCGCAATGGGAGAATCCTTAGTACTATCCAAGGAGGGGTAAGGAAAACTGTGACGCTTGCACTCATGAGTATACCGATCTTGGACTTGTTGTTTCTCCCTGATCAGGGATTTCGCATCCCGAAAGGCGGAACAAGAAAGCCACGTGCGGTTGTCTCCCTTGAGACAACGGCCGCGGAGCGTACAGCAGGGGGCCCATTGGCTTCGTAGTTCCTCAGCGTCTTAAAGCTTGGTGTCCCGTGTACAGTTGGCTGTACGCAATTGGGCCACTGCTTGAATGAAGCACCAATGTAATGGCCTGGGAGTGCATCAGTACTTGATTCTACATTGCGCTACACTGGCGGAACTGATTCACTGTCTGTCGCACCCCACCCCACCCCTCTCCCAGCGGCGCGGGCCGCCGAGCGCCATGCCCGAGGGCTTCGTGGGACCCGCTGACCTGGTCAACGCCCTGGTCGGCCTGGTCAACGTCATCTGCCGTGGCGTCCTCGCCCCCATCAACTTCATCACGCGAAAGGTGCGCCACTTCTGCCGCGCAGCAAATCCCATGTTTGGGGGGAAATTCCGGCGCCAGGTGTCCGAAAACAAGAATCAGGGAAGGAAAAAGATTGGAAAAAAGAGCAAAGAAAGGAAAAAAGAAGGCGGAGGGAGTGTGCATTGGATGGGCGTTGTTCGTTGTTATCCGGAAGGGTGCACACCGGGGCCACGCTGCGGAGCCAGAGGTCCGAAAAAAGGAATAAGAAATGGAAATAAGGTAAGGAAAAACAGGGGAGGGGAGGGATCAGCATGCGTCGTGTGCCGACCGCTGCTCCCAAGAAAGGTTCCCTTTCGGAGCCAGAGGTGCGGAAAAAGAAAGAATGGAGAAAATGAAAGGGAGGGAAGGACTGCCTTGCGGTAGGAGGCCTACGCCCAGCGCTTTGCTGGCCGGGAAAAAGCGCGGGTCGGCGGATGCCAATCGGCGCCGGAGCGTCGATTTCATCGGGTGGCGATTTGCATGGGCGGTTTCGGGGTGGAGCGGGTCACACGCGTTATGAGGCGGAATTTCCGTTCGGGAGAGCGGGAAAGCGGATGGGGCGATGGTCTGGCCGGCGCCCGGCCCGCTCAACTGGGTATGGGCGTTGCGAGGGGCCTGTCCATTCTTGGGGACGGCGGGGTGGCCCGGGGGGGGCTTCCAAGTCAGTGTGGGCAGCTGCGTGAGTAGGGTTTTGGGGGCCGTGACCCAGTGGGCACGGATTCGAAGTCGAACGCAAAAACATAAGAAAAGAAAACTGTGTGTGCGGGAGAATGGACGAAGTGGGTGGGGGAGGGGCTGGCCTGCTTCAGCGTGGCGCCGGCCAAGGGTGGCAAGCGGGCAGGCGAAAGGGGGGGGGGGGAATATCGCAATGGCTGGTGTATCGCAGTATCGCGAATATCGAAGTATCGCAAGGTCGTGGTTGTGCACATGGCGCCATGTCGCAACACCGCAGCATGACGGTTTGGCTCCTTTGCAACGTCAGCAGTATCGTCGGCTTTGCAGTCAAGAAGATGGCTCTGTCCAGAAGAGCATAAAATGCTGGATCACAACTAGGTTTGCCTCCTGTTTGCCTTTCAGGCAGCATGGAATTTCACCATTGAACAGCAATCAGTGTGTCTCCAACGCCAATTGGGAATACCTTCACCATGTTCACAGCCTGAGGTCTCATCCCCAAAAAGGACCAGCAATTGTCTGCCACAAGCCAAGAGTATGGACAAGCCAAGGACCAGAGAGATCCAAAAGAGTGTGGGCCAAGGAAGTGTAACCATACATGCAGGGTATGCGATGGTGAATGCAAGCAAATAGGCGCACAAATGGGCACATCCTGGCGTTCAATTTATTCCCCTGGCTTGAGTTAGCAGTTGTTGTGCCCTAACCTTCACCCTGGTCCTCCAAAATGAAGCAAGAATGAAAAGAAAGCATGGAATCCTCCAAAATGAAGCAAAAATGAAAGCTTAGTAGGTGTAGATCCCAGCAACAAGGCAGTTGCAGGCGTACATTCTCCCGAGCTTGCCAGAAAATGCGACAGGCATCGTGGAAGCTGTGTTGGACTCCACCTGGGGGGATGATGTTCACCCCATGACTGGGAATTCCCGGGTTTTCATCTGTCAGAGGGCGACAAGCCGAGCACCTTGCAGGTTGCCCCTGAGCAGCTTCCAGGCGATGATGATCACAAAAGCATCCAACAGGCATCTTTGTTCGATGCACCCAGGTCACAATTATCCAAACCACGCATTTGCACACCGCAAAAACGATGGCAGAGAATCCCAAGAATGATGTGCCTCTGTTGGGCAGGCATGTCTGTCTACCTCGATTGGTTGTACATCCATGACCAACACTCTTTGGTGGCTTGCTGTGTTGCCCTTAAGCAACGTTCCCTGGGGCACAAAAATTGTCTTCTTTTGTGACATGATGTGGATTCAGCAGGACGATGACTAATGTGGACAGGAACAGAGGTCCATGAAAGGGCAGTATTGGGCTTTGGATGAAGCTGCTCCTCAGGAGTAGCTCTGTCAGACATTTGATCTCGACCTAAGGAAGATACACAGTTATCTTCCCGCGCATTTTGCCAAGGACATGGCAACATGTCGATTCCACAGTTACCTTCTCCATCAAACACCCTTGGATTTATGCTCTGGTCCCCTGCAGACAAAATCAACATGTTGCAAAATGCCTGTGGTTGGGTGCCCCTTTGCAGGCTGCAAGAGATCGGCAAAGGTTGATAGCCAACACCGGCAGGAACCTGGCAGGTGGGCTGGTGGGAACATCCTGGACACATGTACCACAGTACTGTATTGCAGCACTGCATGGAAATACTGCATTGTTTGGTGCATTGGACTGCGCTGCTCTGATGCTGAGCACTGACACCGACATAATGTGCTTGACAAATTCCTGGAGCAGAATCGACCTGCTCCCAGTGGAAGTCCAGACCACCCCTAATGTGTGCAAGAGAGTTCCCCCAGACGTTTTTATTGTGGCTGGCTGCACTGATGAAAAGTGAGCATGTGCTTTTTGATGTCTCCACATGCATTTCATCAGCTGCAGCAGGCAACAGGCACTTGACCCGTGCGATTAACAGGTGCTGCCCATTGGCTTGGGTCACCCAATGTCTGGAAAACCCATGGGTTGGTCATCCAGGCCTCTGCGAGGGGGTGGAAGGCCACGGTTCCAATCCAAGCTTGGATTATGGCTGATGTCAAAAGCAGGGATTGACACTAGGGAGGTGTGGGAGCTCACTATCAATTTGGCACTGCGTGAGAAAATTTGCCCCAGTGTGTGACCCCTTATTGTCCACTTTTAACGCATGTACCAACTGTTCTGTCGGTGCATCCCCTTTTGGGGAAGATTGTGCACAAAGCTAATGCTAGTAGTGCTTTTCTGAGGATAGCATTCTGGGCAAGGACCAACACAAAAGCAACGATGAATACCGGCAGCAATGGAAATAACATACTGTTTCGAAAATGACAACAACAGTGCTGCATACTAAGTGGCGTGATGGAGACAAAGGACAAAGGGCACTTTCACAATCGGTTTCAGAAACTGAAACAAATCTGTACATTGCAGCACGACGCGCCATCGAGACGCAGAGGAAGGACTGCCTCATCTTCGATCCATTGGCACAAGTGCTTGCTGGAAAGGAGGCATTCAAACGCATCAAGGTGGGTGGCCTGGCGTCAAACCAATTCGGCGTGCCTTGCACTCCATCACAGATTCCGCAGAGAGCATCTGTGAAAGTAGCCATTTGTTAATCGGAAGAAGAACAGTGCGCTATATTACCAAAATTTTAGTAGTCACAGCAGTTTAGTTATCATTTAGTCACTGCGCTATTCAATTCAGATCAGCTTTACGAAGTGTTAATTGTGCATTGAAGCAGAAGTCTGAGAGGGAGCCACATGTGTCCAATCAACTCCACAGCTGAGCTTGACAGCCTGTGCTGAAGTACAATCCTGCAGGTGCTTGCATTTTGCATCCAAGGGGCGTTGTCCACACAGCCAATTTAAGAAGGCTGCACGTCCGCCAGCATTCCCCACGCAGATCGGTTATGAGAGACACGTTCCCAAAAATAGGTTCTGACGTAGGACCCCATGCAGGACCTATTCTATTTTAGGTCTGATTCTAGTTTAGGACCTAATATAGGTCCAGATGTTGAATCCAGACTGCCTGTTGCCTTAGGACACCAAGGCCAAGGTTCGAGCCCGAGGGAGGACCAAGCGGGCGGTTAATCACGTCATCCTCCGGTCCAAGTTCGTGGATGACGCAATCCAGAACGTTCTGGGAAGCGCACGGGTCAAGGACTATGCACCTGTGAGGGGCGATGCCTCGCAGTGCAGGCAGGTGGAAAATGCCACAAATTATTCTGTAGTATTAGCAGTGTGGAATATACAAACCTTAATATAGTGTAAAATACTGTACACAAATTATTCATGTGTCAGTGAATTAGCCAATGGCCAGTACTTGGTGCGCAGACAGGTGGTGGCATCGGGGTTGGTTATGGATGCCCGTCCATTGGGGCAGTATTTTATTACCTTATCATTGTTTGCATACTATTTTCTTTGTATATATTACATTTACTATAGTACTGGATTTTTATTTGACATTGCACATAACGTGTTTATGTGTTGATTCAGACTCCAAACAAAATCTGCTCGATGTTTTCGATAGCTTTGCACACTTCTTACACTTGCTCACTGAACGTCTGCTCAATGTCCATATTGATGTCTATGTTAATGTTCATTGATATCCAGCTTAATGCCCTTCTAATGTCCATCTCAGTGTCCATTTGAATACCCTTTGTATTGTCATTTTACTGTTCATTTTCTATGTCTGTTGTGGCATCCATTTATTGTCCAGTATACTGTCTAGTTAACACGTCGAGCACAAACAGTTCTCATACTTATTCGCAGGCAGGTTGTCTCGCTGGGCTCCGGCATGGACGCCCGGCCATGGCGGCTGGTGCTGCCGGACGGCCTGAAATGGTTCGAGGTGGATTGGGCCATCGTAGTGGACCTCAAGAGGAAGCTGCTGCGGGAAGCAGGCGCCGCAATGGATGCTAAAGTATGTAGGAGTATGTAGTGTGTATGTAGTATGTAGTACATCTATTCTCTGCTTGCTGCACACCATGTTTCTTTTCCTTCTTATTGTGATGGGAGAGGAGGGGGAGAGCGGCTGGTTTATTGCCCCTTACACCGACTTTGCAAGCGACAGTCGCTTGCAAAGTGCAGGGTTGCCCCTTGTTCAATTGGCCTCATTAACGCCTTGTTCAATTAGCCTGTTTAAAGCCTTATTGTCTGCCAATTATTTAGTCGAGAACAAGTGGTACAGGGCTCCGGACTTCCCACTATTTCTTGTACCACGTCTTCCTGAAAGTGTGCAGGCTGCCGGACAGCAAGCACAGTGACTGTGTTCGGTGGCTGACCGCAGTCACTGTGTTCGCTGTCGAACATGGTTGCTTATGGGGCACTGTGGCATAGCCCTGAGGCAAGCTTCTGAGAAGCGGACGAGGCAGTGGATGCTTAAGTACGCATGCCCCTTTCTATGCTGTTTTGGGAAAGCAGGTCGGCCATTTGACAGGAACACTGTTTTGCCTGCCGCATGACACCCTGTTGGTGGATGCTAAGCTACGCATGGCTCGCTGCCACTGTTCTGTTCTACATGCGCTTCCTTTTCCACATCTCACGTTTCGGCTGTTCCTTTCTGTACACCTGTACCTAGGCCACCATTTTGCATTTCTGGGTTTTTTTCATCCGGCAGGTGCCTTTTAATGCACTTGCGTATTTTGAACAACTTTTGGGTATTGTGGTTATTTTATTAATCGCCCCTGCGCTTTCTTGTTCCCAGTCTAACGCACGGGCCAAGTTCCCCCTGCGTGTGGGCGCCTGGTGCGCCGTGAAGGCGGACGCCCAGGATGCAAAGCTGATGGACCGATTGCAGGCGAGCGGCTTCGATCCGGCAGTAGTCACGCTGTGGGTTGCAGAAGGCCTGTTGGTGTATCTGGAGCCCCAAGTGGTGCCTGCCCTGCTGAAGGTGCGCACCCAGCATCGACTCACGGACACCTTAGTGTAGTACCATTTAGCGCACTATAGCTTAGTGTGATTTACGTCCGATTAGTACTGTTGGTGTATATGGACCCCCGAGTGCTGCACTTGAGGTGCATTGTTATGGACACCACAAATTTCAAGCTCTTGAAGTGCAGTTTTTGCTGAACGGTCTACATCTAACGAACTATGTCGACGAAACATCGGCAGGAACAGAAACTGCAAAATGGTTGTCGATGGGCTGTGTAGTTCTTGAAGTACAGTTTTTGTAGGGTAGCCTATGTTTACCATGTTATGTCGACAAAATATCAGTTTTAACGGGAAACAGCAAAATGGTGGTTTGCGAGTGTTGCGTTTGGCATAGTATGCTGACTTGATGGCAGTGAATGTCAAATTTGATGATCGTAAATGCTGGCAGCCCCACTGTGGGTTACCAAGGCGTGTTGGTGTATCTGGTGCCCCAAGTGATGCCAGCCCTACCTAAAGTGCTCACCCCCAACGCCGATTCAAGGACACCATAGTCTAGCGCGATTTTGGTTATACCGTACACGTTGAGCATGGTATGTCGACAGAATACCCGCAGAAAACGGGAAACAGCAAAAAGGTTACCAATATGTTCCGTGCTTGATAACATAGTACGTCGACTCGATACTTGTAAATGGACGATTTACAAAATGAAGTTGAAGATGGCGAAAGCCACGCTGTTTAGGGGCTTTCCCTAAACACTGTGTCCCAAGGGTCGAAGAATTGAACAGTCCGGACTGCGCCAAGCAAGCATTGACAAGTACCTTAGAGGTCAATGAGAGCACTGTCCTGACGATGAAAACAACCCCAATATATGCATTTACTTCTGGCTTGGATTAGCTTAACTAAGCTTAGCTCAGTTTAGTTTGGGTTAGTTCAACCTAAAAATAGTTTGCTTAAATTAAATTAGATCTTAGCTTAGTGTATTTAATTTCGTCCATGTGTGGGCGCAACACCACGCCGCCATGGGCGAATCACAAGTGTGAAGGCACTGCCAACGCCCAGCCGATTGTTTCCATTGCTGCGCATTTGATAGCGCCATCATTCGACATTGAAATATATACAATAACATGCAAATTAGATGAATGTACATTAAATGTAACACGCTGAATTACAAACTATTAAATGCGAGTATTGGGCAACCAATAGCTGTTAACTATTGTTTCTTGTCGCAGCGCATGGCGCAATCATGCTCCCCAGGAAGCATTCTGGTGTGCACCTTCGTGATGGCCAAGAGGCTGGAGGACAACCAGGATGGGGGAACAGGAGCAAGGAGGGAGTGGAAGTGGGGAGCGCCCGAAAACTACGAGCAGGTGAAGTCCACGGGTCTACAATTGAGTGAAATGTGCTGTTAACAAATGAATTTGTGCCAGCCAAAAATAGATGAAGTCGCCTGACTGCGTTGGTGCGAGATGGCACCAGAAAAGGCCGTTGGAAATACATGATTTGGTCCATTGCGAATCCAATTTAAGCTCTTTGCTCACGATTGTCAATTCAAAACATAGCCAATCTACTGTTGTTTCCATTCTAAATTCGACTCCTTCAATTGTAAGTTGGGAAATTAGCACAGTCCAAACGCCGAACAGGGCTGTGCAGATTGGCCAATGTTCTTCCAGTTTATTGAGCTGAACGTGGAGCCACGTGTCCACCGCAGTTCTTCGAAGAAAATGGCTGGAAGATCGCCCTGATGAAGCGCCGAACCCAGGTGGCCAAGATGTACGGCTGCGATGCCAGCTCCCACATCCCTGGGGCCTCACCCCCGCTCCTGTCCGAGCAGGCGGGCATGATGGTCGCCAAGAGGCTCTGATGGCGTGTCTAGAAGCTTCCTTGGCTATCGGGAAGATGCGCGTGGCAGCTTCCTTTGATCGTGCGATGACGTGTGTGCGCTTGGGATGGGAGAGTTGCCTGTATTATTGTGTTCTGTGTTCATTGCCTGTACTAGTGGATTCCGTTTCACAACCATACTCTTGCGATGGTGCATAGAGAAAATTCCTTGAGCAGCACAATGATGATGCCTAATGAACCACGACAGTGTTGAGTTGTTGATGAGGGAGCCTGCGTTAGGCAGGTGTGCTGTCGAAACAGTACTTTGGCAGCCACATTGGCACAGCTATTGTCTACAGTCACAGAAGCACTGTACTTCAGTCAACGATAATGGTAGCAGTAGGGGGTGCGCACCGAATACTTTATTGGGAAATGGCACAAGGGGTTCCCCTGTGAGATATCTTGACAGAAGGGTGTCCTCTGTGACAAAAAGGGTCCTCTGCAGGGTTGCATTTGACAAAAGGGGGTCCTCTGACCGCCCCCTGTACATTAGACGCGTTGCCATGCCGGTGCCAGACCGGACCACCGTCCTACCAGGGCCGACCCCTCTGGGAGGGCGCCACGGCGATCGGGCTGTGAAGGGGAGTCATGGCAATCAGGGCTGTGGGGAAGACCAAGCAGCGATCTGAGCTGGAGCTGCAGGAGGGAGTCGTAGCGATTGGAGCTGCGGGGGAGACAACATGTCGGATTTCAAACAGACGCGCGGGCCTACTCAAGAGAAGCGAGCCAGATTGGCGCTCGCGAGGTGCCCTCTTAACTGTAGTGTCAGGTGGGAGCAGACTGGGGGCAGGGTGGCTCTTATTGAGGCACTTGTAACGCCATCAGTAGTCGTCGAGGAGTGGCCGAAAGGATGATGGCAAGGCGACGGTGGCGAGAAGAAAGGCGCTGGCGTGGTGTCAGAACGATGCCGTGGTGTGGTATTGTTGTAACCTCACATTAAATGTTATCAAATTTGTTAAATTTTCTGCCTGATCGGTCTCCCCACCCCAGCCATACACGTTCCTCCGTGCAGTAT